CCGGGCTCTGGCTTATGCCCTCTTTATGATGTCCCTGAAGACTCGAATCACATCTTCTTCTCCTGTGTGTCATCTCAATTTGTCTGGAGCTGCTTTAGGGAGGTGGTGGGTGGGAATTGGTGCCATACCAACTTTCCCGACCTATTCACAGAACTCCAGAACTCCCCCTTGTTCTCGCGCCACATTAGGTGGCTTGAGATTGGGGCGATCGCTTGGACCCTTTGGACGATTCGCAACAAGCTTGTTATTCAGCGCACTCCTCTTCGGCGGGCTACTGACGCTCTTTTCAAACTGTCTTGTTACTTGCAGCTTTGGCGGCCGCTTAGCCGCCCTCAGGATCGGGACGCCATCTCGGCCTTCATAGCCGACCTTCGCTCGATGGCCGTCCGTCTGTCACCGCTGCCGCCGCCACCACCGGAGCCCGACTAATCGTCTCCTGCGCTCCGGAGCGCTCCGGCGCCCGCTTTTTTCCCTTTTTTCTGGGCTTGTTGAGATGTGCCCTCAGCAGAACCTTATGTACTTCCTGTTGTGTGACTTGGGTGTGTGTGAACTAGTCCATGTGTGTGCGCTCTCTGGCGGTTTGCTTTATTTATAAAGCAGGGTGAAAGCCTTTTTCGATAAAGCACATACATAAAAAATGTGTAGCGGAGTAAAATTCTGCTATCTATTGGTGGGCATGGCCTTATTTATGAAGCATAAAAAGCGTAAGACGGCAAGTGAGGTATATGTGCTCAAATTGACTGATTAACATATGACTGATTAACACTTTTTGTAAAGTATTTGATGCAATTAACAATCAACATTGACTGATTAACATATGCAAGTGAGGTATATGTGCTCAAATCAAGCGTAAGACGGCAAGTGAGGTATATGTGCTCAAATTGTTGCATCAAATCCTTAACAAGTGTCAATTTGATGATTAACGTATCTTAAGCGTAAGACGGCAAGTGAGGTATATGTGCTCAAATTTGATGCAATTAACAATTAACATTGCCTTGAGTTAGTAAAGTATTTTTTTTGGTGATAGCAACTATCAGGGGATTATGTAGTCAAGATCGAATCCAGCCTACCCCAATCCCCTTCCTCTCCAACCTTCGATTCCCATCAGCCTCACCTAGCACGCTGGAGCAATCAGCAAATCAGTCGGTCAGCGGGGAGATAGTTAATCTAGGAGCATATTGTATACATACACAATTTGAGCTACATTGACCGTTTCCGATGAGGCTATCAGGTGTGCCACTAATTTCCTCACGAATCCTTTAATGAAGACCCATTCGGCTGATGTCTAAGGTACAATGATAAAATTCTTGCAGTAGGGCTATGTTCCCTAAATCAACAAGTCAGATACCAGACACCCAGTTCGCTTTCATGTTTTACTGGGGATTTAGAGATGTTTTCCACGTTACCTTAACTAATACTGACATTCCTTATGCTTACTAGGTAAAAGTATGACTTCATTTATATGCTACCCAGCATATATAGATTTGAATGTGCGTGAACTTTGCTCAAATGCACTTTGCACAAGAAACTTCCAGAGAAAGGTTTTCTGTGAACTTATATTCATAGTGGCACCGATATATGGCACACCTACGTGGTGCATATGGTAATATAATATGTCTACATTTTTGTGTAATTTTAAAACCACCAGTTGACAGTACGTTCTAAATATCAATACCAATGAAAATGCATATGCTGCTGAAGATTCAACGCAAGAGCATGCACTCATGTAGGTATGGCACGTACTAATTTATCTCTAGAATTAGTTCACTCTTGCTGTTAGAGGCAAATCTTTGTAAATAAATCAATGTTCTTCGGGACAGGTGAGAAATAATGTGTTCTTTTCAGAAGAATACAGATGAAATCATGCCACTTTAATATTTACTAGCACATATGCCCGTGCGTTGCAACGGGAGATAAAACAGTATACATTTAAAGCCAGTGAGAATTATATGTGCAAGCAAAACCCTATGTGCACATGAAAAAGAATATTTAGCTTCTCGGTTTTGCCGCATGTGAAGTAATCGTACGCCACAGAAGGCCCACGAGTTACTCAATCTACTCTTCCTTTCAGTTCTTTCAATCAAGGGAATTTTAAGGTAAGAAGTTTCTGAATATTCTTGGAAACATGATCAATTTTTAAAATCCTGAACATTTTTTTGAAAATTATGTACACCTTCAGAATAACATGAACAAAATAAGAAAGGGAATATCTTTTATAATTCACAAACATTTCCTGAAAACACCAGCTTTATTTTATAAAAACATGAACAGTATTCGAATTTGTGATTTTTTTTAAAAACGGGAATATATGTTGAAAATTCATAAGATTTTTAGAAAATGTGTATCTTTTATACACGAACATTATTTTTAGAAAATATGTATCTTTTATACACGAATATTTTTCAACTTTGACGCATGTTTTGAAATGACATTTTTATTTTAGAGATCTCCAACATTTTTGTAAAACAATATTTTTTTAAAAAAATGGGCAACTTTTTGCAAGTTCCGAATATTTTTCAAAATAGCAAAAAAAAAATTGGTATTCCGAACATTTTCCAAAATTTGTTTCTTTAGTTCTAAACGATTTTTCAGAATTTTAAATTTATGAATTAAATTCTAAAATAAAAAAACTTGGAAGTGTAAAAAGAGAGAGGGAAAGGAGAATAAAAATAGAAGTAAAACACGGAAAAAGAGTAATTGGCTAACCCATTAGTGCTTGTCCTGTGCGAAAATCTGACTATTTGTCGACCTGTGCGGAAAATAGAGTTTACCAAGCTGCGTTGGCACAAAAATAAGTAGGCTGGCTTACGTACACCTTTTCCTAAAAAAAAACTTTGTCAAGCAGATAAACGCATAAGAATTTAGTACACCTTTTCCTCAAAAAAAAATTGGTACACCTCGGCTAAAAAAAAATTATTTTTGGCGGTGAACGGATGAACATTATTGGAATTTTTGATTTTTTCTTAAAAATTGGGAACATGTGTTGAAAATTCATAAGAATTTAAGAAAATGTGTATCTTTTATGCATGAACATCATTTTTAGTTTTTAAAATTTCATTAAAACATGAATAGTTTTCAGCTTCGGAGCATTTTCTGAAATGCAATTTTTTTAGAAATCTCGGTAAAATTTAAAAACCATTGTTTTTCCTTAAAAATGGTCTAATTTTTGCAAGTTCGAGTATTTTTCGGAATAGCAACAGAATTCTGAAATTATGAATATTTTCCAAATTTTGTTTTTTAGTTCTGTTTTTTTTGGAACTTTTTATTTATGATAAAATTTATAAAATAGAAATAAATTTGGAAGGGAAAAAGTGATACGGAAAGGAGAATAAAATATATGTAAAACGTAGGAAAAATAGAAAAATGGGCCAGCCCATTACCGATTTTCCTGTGCGAGCGTCCGACTATGTATCGGCTGCTGCCGAAAATAGAATTTTCCAGCTACGTGGGCAGAAAAATAAGTGGGATGGCTTCGCTGGGCCGCAGTGCGTGGCCCAGGTATGAAAATTATTTTTCTAGCAGACAAACACATAACAATTTAGTACCACCTCGGGTAGAAAAAAGGTATATTCGGCGGTGAACGGATGAAAAAAATTGGTGAAACGCACCTTGCTTTATTAGTAGGTACAGATTGTCTGCAAATGCACATACCCTATATGTGATTTCAGAATGATTATTCTATTTTTCTTATG